GCTGATCTTGGATTAAAGTGCAACATCCATTACACTTATGATGTGTTCTCTTCTGATAACTAACAGTTACAGATTATATTTTATCTACTTTATACTTTATACTTTACTACATTTATACAAATCACGAAGCTCCAAAAGTTCTGACATATTGTGACCATGCCGGGTTGGAAGCAGCACTGACCAACAAGTGCTGCCTGTTGATCACCAAGATCCTAAAAATCAAAACCATTAGCAGATATATTAGAACACTCTTTTATAAATCATGGCATTTGAATAATAGCAGATTTTAAACTTACGCCAGCAATCGGAATTCCCATCAACGGTCCATCAGCAATCAAGCCATAGACTTCCGATGACGATTTAACTGCTGGTAACGAGCATTTGTTCATGCCAAAAAAACTATATACATATTGAGATACTGGCAACTCACAAAAACAACTAAAGAGTATCAACTGATGCCACTTACGAAAGCATTCCGTCATCCCAGTCAAGACTCTTCAGATTAAGTAGCATAGTACGACTGGCATTGGTCACGTCAGTCACATGTATACCGCCTTGGACACCACCAGTGAGACGCTGTAGATAAAAGTGGAACGAAATGAATTAGCATTTTCTACAGTTCACTATTATAAATGACACCGTAAACCCAAAACCTTGAAATCTACAGCTAATACTCACATAAATTAGCCACGAATCAATTGTGCCAAACATGAGACGGTCCGTTTGATTGGCATCTTGAACAGCTTTAATATTATCCAGTAGCCATCGCAGCTTGACAGCGCTAAAATAAGTAGACAGTGGGAGACCACAGATTGACTGGAAATGATGTTTGGATTTTGACGGGGTTGCAGCAATCAATCTTTCCACAGTATCCTGGGTACGAGTATCAAGCCAAACTGGAATATGGGTTAATTCAAACCATTTCCAAGAATGATATCAGCCAGTTTGATGGAATGATGGGTGTCAATTTACTGGACAAGATTGAGTAACCAGCATGGAAATGACAGTTGTATTTCTAAACGTGCAATCTTTTAAACTAGAACGCAAACGTATGAGATTTTGAAATACAACAAAGAGTTTGAGAATAATCAGTCCCAATGGATGAATCTGTGATTGTACAATGTACGATCATACCAAATATGGACAATTTCAGTTCAAACTCATAGTTTGATTGTGTTGTATGATGGTCAATGCTTTAAAGAATCAAGAATGACTATCAAGTCAATTTGTAGTAGAAACAAGGAATATTCAATCATTGCCTATTCCAAAGCAATCACTAGAAAGTATTCCATTCTACGTGAATACAGCTGTAAAATGAGTGACAGTATCAGAGTGTAGATCTAATAAAACAATTTGTAAATACATATGGTCAAGTTGAAAGAAGGATTGATGGGATGTTACCAATAGCATGATGTAACGGCTTGCCATCCAGTCGGTCCCATACACAAGTAGTTTCACGCTGATTAGTGATGCCAATAGCTAATATTATTATATCGAGAGCATCAGCCAAACCATAAACGCAATGATTAGTGTTAATAGTACGAGCCAATCCCTTTGATCCATACAACGACATTAGATTAACCTTT